TCTATTTCTTTCTCTAAATCTATTATCTATCTATCTCTTTCTCTACATCTATTATCTATTTACCTATCTCAATACTTACAGAAAACTTTGAGTTTTCTCAATTTTGGATACCTCCAATTTTAATCCAACTGCACAAAATTCATTCTGCTTATATTTTCACCAACAGTGAAAAAGTTCCTTTCCTTTCACCTTCAAGTCTCCCTGGGAGTAAGCAATCTCCCATCTTTGCGGCTGCCCTCTCCTGAGGTTGCCCTCCTCGCCCTGCCTGGCCCTGACATCCAGGTTATGGCCCTTTGCACCCTCCTATGCTCCCCCCCCCACTGCAGGTGACCACCTTGCTTTGTCCCCAACTAATGGCTTTAGGATGAAAGTTTTTATGGAGGGAAGGGTAGGGAAGTAGAAGAGGAATGTTTTAAACATGTATGGTTTGACTGTGTCTACACATATGCACACATGTATCATTATCTGTACATATACTCCTGGGTGGCATTCTCAAACATCCGAGGCCACTGTCCTGCCCAACCACACCTGAAAGCCACACTACCGTGCTTGGCAGCCAAGTGCTTTTGAAGTTGCTTGTTGGTCCCTGTCACACAGTGTGCACCAATGAAGAGCCAGGCAAGCCGATGGCTAGACAAGATAATAAGCAGCATGGAGGAGACACGACATAGTTAGAACCTGCACACTCAGAGAGAAAGACCCTCCCATTAGAAATGGGGAGCACTTCCCTTTCCCGAGTCAGGGAATGGAGAGGTCAATACTGGAAAGAGATGAGCCGCTCAGGAGTCAGATACTAATGCTGGAAAGAAGGAAGGGCAAGGTGAAGGGGAACCCTCTCAGCCCAGAGTTCAGAGTCGTATCTTCTCTCCTTAGTGGAACACTCTGCTATCTGAACAGCTAAACAGAAGGGGACCCACAGTAACGACAGTGTAAAGGCTAAGTATCAGGCACCAGTGTACTAGCATGGCTTTCTCATGCAAAATTTAGAGCAGGGCCATTGTATTTCAAACTGAAAAACCAGCAAATATTTATCAGACACTTACTGTATACTGGTTCTGTGAAAGGCAGTGTAGAGACCCTAAGGTAACTCTTGTGCTCATATAACTTCTTCCCACCCATCCATTTTCTGCCCATCTGTCCAGCCACATACCTATCCAACTTTCTTTCCCTCCCTCCATCGATCAACCCACTCACTCACTCATCCATGCATCCATATGTTGTTTGTACATCTATCCAACCATCCATTCATCAATCTGCTGTCCATGCATCTGTCCATCCATCCACCCACCTGTCCATCCATTCATCCATCTACTCATTTATCCATTCTTCTACCCATCGATTCATCCATGCATCCATCTATCCATTCATCCATCTACTGTCTATCCATTATCCATCTATCCATCCATTTATCTTTCCACCCATCTATTCATCCATCCATCCACCTGTCTATCAAATCACCCATCTATCTACTCATCCTTCCATTCATCCATCCATCCGTCCATTAATCCACCAGCCCATCTCTCCATCCATCCATCCACCTGTCCATCAAACCACCTATCCATCTATTCACTCACCCATC